ACAAAATTGTTTATTATTCCGGCAGGTTATTTTTGCCATCTTCTTCTCCCACATTCCACATCGTACAAACTCCGTTCAAACATCAAAACGTTCAGCTCGGTCGGGAATCGATTGCTATTACTTTTCTCATTCATAACTTTCATAATTCCAGCGATATATCCCATAATTCATCAAATTGTTGACATTGAAGTCAATGGAGAAACTCTTCAGACTTGAAAAATCTTCATGCGACTTCAACTGCTTACTGTTCCTTCATACTTTCACTCAGAAACCTCATTCCAACTTTAAAATGTTACACATCTTTCTGACATTATTCATATTAAACAACTTTGAAATCAGATTCATACTTTTAGAAACATTAAACATTGTTCAGACCTTGGTAAAGAGGCCTTCTTCAGATTTTAACATTAATGTGTATTGCGCAGCTCGTTAACGTTAGAGTGTGTGATCTCAAAGCTAGAGTGGAGGACAGCTTGAAATCCGCCTTCATATTTTTTTTAAAACCTGCCATAATTCCCAAACCCTGCCATAATTCCCAAACCCTACACTCCTGAGACATAATTGTTCATGAGAAACGTAGGAAAACATCTCGTAGCTTGAAAAATGAAAAAGAATTATACGGTGGCCCTGAAGTGCAAGACACCACAGCATTTCACAAAACAACACACCATTTCACATTGGACGGAAAGGGTATTCCTTAGGTAGAACACTTCTTGTTTGTGATTGGACAGAGCCAGCCAGAGAAGCACTGCTGTGATTGGTTGTTTTTGCTGCCAGTCAAGAAATGACGCTTGGCCCAACACATCAGCTGTTAGCTGTTAGCACACACTCAGAGCTCACAGCTCCTCATATCTGTTCAGAAACTGGACAAAAGTTAAACATATACAAAACACAGACTGTCTATGTCATGGCGAATACAGTCGCTGCTTTATTTATGTCTGTATGACGTTGTTGTGAGTGTGGACGGAGCAGCTACAGGTTAGTTTAGCCTGATGGATCCGATCACGATAGGATTTACATGGATATACGCCCCGCCCCCTCTCCAGCGTCTTGTTTGAATGACAGCAGTAAACACAGAATTAATGCTTTATTAATTCATGGTTTTTAAGGGGCTTATCTCCATGTAAATACTATGGTAGACTACCCAATATTCGCATCGCTCTAATCGCTCGAGTTTCACCGCGGCTGTCAGCTGTGTTTGCTCCTGTCATTCAAACAAGACGCGTTGGAGAGGGGGCGGGGCGTATCTCCATGTAAATCCTATGGGAGATACCAACTACAACCAAATGAACATATTTCACCGTGATGTAATTGTAATACACGTTTCAAAGTGATGCCGAAGTAACTACATACTGATAACGGTTAGTAAAAACCATGAATTAACGCTTTGACAAGTCTGCAGACAAGACGGCAGGCGAAAAGCTTTTAAAATGTGTGTTTTCTGAATGGAATCGGATCCATTAGGCTAAACTAACCTGTAGCTGCTCCGTACACACTCACAACAACGTCATACAGACATAAATAAAGCAGCGACTGTATTCGCCATGACATAGACAGTCTGTGGTTTGTACATGTTTAACTTTTGTCCAGTTTCTGAACAGATATGAGGAGCTGTGAGCTCTGAGTGTGTGATACTAACCGACCTCCTTAACGTTTGGTGCGGGCATTTGAGGGTTGCAAAACACTTCGACTGGAAAATAATGAGGAGCGCAATCGTAATAATCGAGCACCGGGACTTCACATTCTGTGGGTCGTAAAGTTTTTGTGGTGTCGTAAAGTGTTGATGTCATAAGTCTTTTGGGCGTCGTAAAGTGTTTTGCGGCGCGTAAGTGTTTGCGCGTCGTAAGTCTTGTTGCGGTGTCGTAAAGTGGTTGCGGGTGTGTAGAAGGTGTTTTTGCGGTGTCGTAAAGTGTTTTGTGATGTCGTAAAGCTTTGTGATGTCGTAAAGCATTGCGTTGTCGTAAAGTGTTGTGTTGTCCCGTAAAGTGTTTGTGTTGTCGTGAAGTGTAACTGCCTGTCACCATAAGAAATCCTCCTTGACAAGAACAAACACTAACCTGTCTCGTCGTCTCTCGTGACGACACTAAACAAGCAAAACGACGGTCAGTTCTTACGCGAAGCACAACAGGTTGCGTCCTGTCGCGGTTTATACAGGGTTGGTACCAGGGGTTGTGTA